TGACTTCCCATCTGCAGCCGCCAGTCCAGGAAACCAACCAATAACCCCTGTAGCAATTGGCCCGGCATGCCCAGGATTTGATCAATTACTGGCAGCTGCCCTAATTTTTGTCGTGACTTCCAACTTAGGACCAAACAGAGAAGGCCAAATACTCTCCCCTAACCGATCACCCGGATGGGCTGCTTTCGTTATCCCCCTACGGCACCCGCCAACAGCCACCACCACCCAGAGCCTTCCCTTCTTTCTACTACAAAGTGTCACACTTCTCGGCCTGCCTTTGAGTCTCTACCGAACGCAGGTGACTTGACTCTGAATAAATAGCTTTGGCTTCCCTCATTTTGGTGGGCTTCACTTATTTCCACGTAGGAAAAGACCCAGGAAGAAGGCCAGCCCTGCTCACTTTACTGTTCTCTCTGTTTATGTTCATGTAGACAGCTCTACATCTAAATACTGGATTTTTGTTTGTTTGTTTGTTTTGAGATGGAGTCTCACCCTGTCACCCAGGCTGGAGTTTAGTGGCAGGATCTCGGCTCACTGCAACCTCTGCCTCCCGGGTTCAAGTGCTTCTCCTGCCTCAGCCTCCCTAGTAGCTAGGAATACAGGCGCGGACCACCCTGCCTGGCTAATTTTTTATATTTTTAGTGGAGACGGGGTTTCACCATGTTGGCCAGGATGATCTTGAACCCCTGACCTTGTGATCCACCCCTCCTTGGCCTCCCAAAGTGTTAGGATTACAGGTGCGGGCCACCGCACATGGCCATTTTTTTGTGTGTGTGTGCCAATTTGTCTTTTCTTAATTTTAAAAGGAAATATGAAAATGCCCCCGTCGATTGCTTGGCTGAAATTGACCTGCGCTCTGTTGGTGGCGTTCTCCAGACCTGGTCACCCGAGACAGGAAAGGAGGTTGGGCCGGCTGGGAGTCCGCACCTGAGCGTTTTCTAAATGCTCGTAAAACTTTCATTTCATTATCTCCCTGCAATCTCCCAAGGAGGAGGAAGTCAGGCACCTTCTATCTTTCTCCTTTCCGGAATCCATTCTTTTTTCTTATTTTGAAGATGAGGATTTTTCTTATTTTCCAGTATTTCTCAATATAGATAGAAAGTCTGAAAAATTAAGTTTCATGATTTGCCAGCCAAAGGTATTTTTCTTTTAAATGTCAATAATGAACTTTAATTAAAGTGATGACATTGTCTTGTTTTAGGGACTGTTTTATGTGTCAGTAAGAAATGACATGGCCAGCATGATATTTAGAGGGGTAGGGGACAGGGATTTAGGCCTCCCCAAGTGTCTGTCAGCCCACCAACCCCCCATTCTCTGATGTCCCCAGCTGATGTTTTCTCAATTTTAGGTGAAGGCGCCGCAGATGCAGTCTCATGCCCCTTATTTCCAAACATACTGAAATCACAAGTCCCTTTGGTATAAAAGAATTAATGTACGTGAAGTGCTCCGAACACAGCCACAGCCTGGTCCATAGTAATTGTTCAATGCCGGCCCACTGCTACTGTTTCTCCTGTGGCTACTAATACTAACACTACTCATTATTAGGCAGAAATCCTGTAGCAGCTACTTTCTCTCAGTCATGTTTGCCTTAGTCCTTAGAATCCTTTAATATGCCAGTTTCCTTTCTAAGAGTCCTCTGCTTAAAATCTCTCGTTCTCTCCTTTTCCTGGCTCCCTCCTCTTCATCTTTCAGATACCTCTTAAATGTCACTTTCTCGGGGAAGTCTTCCTAAACTCTAGTCCGAATTAGGGTTCCTATTTTCCTCTTTCAGACCAGGGATCAGTGAATGTTTTCTATAAGGGATCCAACAGTAAATGTTTTAGACTTTGCAGGCCACATAGGCGACTACTCAACTCTGATGTAGTCTAAAAGCAGCCAGAGATGATATGTAAATGAATGTGTGGGCTGAGTTCCAATAAAACTTTGTACCAGTTGTAGTTTAACGAACCTGTTTTAGAGCACTCTTTACTTTTTCTGCACAGTGTGATTATGTGATTACGTGATGATCAATCTCCCTCTGGACTGAAGCTTCTTAAAGATAAGACCCAAGGCCTTGTGCACTGGCTCATGCCTGTAATCCCAGCACTTTGGGAGGCCAAGGTGGGTGGATCACTTGAGGTCAGGAGTTTAAGACCAGTCTGGTCAACATGGTGAAACCCTGTCTCTACTGAAAATACAAAAATTAGCCAGGCATGGTGGTGGGCGCCTGTAATCCCAGCTACTCGGGAGGCTGAGGCATGAGAATCTGTTGAACCCGGGAGGCAGAGGTTGCGATGAGCCGAGATTGCGCCATTGCACTCCAGCCTGGGCAATAAGAGCGAAACTCCATCTCAAAAAATAAACAAACAAAAATCAGAATTCACCACTATAAACTTCATCCTGTTTAACCAAAAACCACTTGTACCCCAAAATCTATTGGAATTTTTTTAAATTAATAAATTGTGAATAAACAAAATACCATCCCTCGTGACCTGTGGCCTTTATTCTTCCTCTCCTCTCCACTAAATCTAGTTCTTTCTGGACTTACCTGTCCTCCGAAGTTTGGACTTACCTGTCCTCCCAAGTTTGGGCTTACCTGTCCTCCCAAGTTTGGGCCACTCAACTTGTAATGTCTGCCCTTGGTCAGGCAGTTTTTGTGCTGGATTGGAAGTTGCGTTGCCTTCTTCTCTAATTAAAACACGGCCAAGCGCGGTGGCTCACGCCTGTAATCTCAGTACTTTGGGAGGCCAAGGTGGTGGATCACTTGAGGTCAGGAGTTTGAGACCAGCCTGACCAAAGTGGTGAAACCCCGTCTCTACTAAATATAAAAAATTAGCCTGGTGTGGTGGCACATGCCTGTAATCTCAGCTATTTGGGAGGCCGAGGCAGGAGAATCACTTGAGCCTTGGAGTCTGAGGTTGCAGTGAGCCAAGATCGTGCCGTTGCACTCTAGCCTGGACAACAAGGCGAGACTCCATCTTAAAGACACAATCATGGGAGTGAAGTTCTGTCATTATAAGAGGTGAGCTCAGCTTAAGAGCATAATGACATTCACATTACAGGGAGGAACACTGGACATGTCAAATTCTCATTGCTGTGATTTGGGGAAAGAAAAAATAACAGCCACCACCTAGCAACCCTACCGTATCTCAAGATGTGGTAATTTCTCTTATACAAAACAAGTTTGTTTTGTTCAATCACATTTAAGCCTATAGGTGTGATCCTTGTTTTTATAGGCAGCTAATTTTGAAGTGACATTTTGGGACGGGTTAATTTCACTTGTATTTTTCTTGCTTTTTGAATGCCTTGCAGTTGAGGCTGTCAGTGCTTGGCCTCCACCAGAGCCAAGAGTCAGACAGAATGTGGAACCACCCACCAAGTGGGCCAATGACAATGGGCTCTGCGTGTCTGTCCCTTCTCATTTCCTGCTGTAAACTTTCAGGGAGTCAGTGAACTCAAGCGTTTCTGTCAGATATAGAAACATTTCCCATGGTTGAAAAGTTAAAGGCTAGTTTAGGTTACAGGCAGTTTTTCTGCTGGAAAATACATAGTTTTCAGATACTTCCTTGTGTGGTAATAAACAAAAACAAAATCAAGAAACTGTTTCCGGGAGGTTGAACGTGTGGTTCTCATCCCCTCGGCCTCCTCCGGTGTTCAAGTCCCAGGAAGTGGTTGATTTAGGCGGGGCAGCCACGTTGCAGCCAGGCCCAGGCTGCAGGAAGGAATGGAGTATATAGGTCAGCGTCTGCTTGAGGAAAGCAGAAATGATTCCAGCGTGTTTAAGCACAGGGTGATGAGAATTTCAAGTGCTGACACAGACAATGAAAGGCTGGGAAGGAGACTCACTCCATGCTGAGGTTCCAGGAATGATCTTCAAGGTGATTCTGGGGAAGACCGAGTGTGGTGCCTCATGCCTATAATCCCAACACTCTGGGAAGTCGAAGAGGGCAGATCATCTGAGGTCAGGAGTTCAAGACCATCCTGGCCGACATGGTGAAACTCCGTCTCTACTAAAAATACAAAAATTAGCCAGACGTGGTGGCACATGCCTTCAATCCCAGCTACTCTGGAGGTTGAGGCAGGAGAATTGCTTGCATCTGGGAGGCGGAGGTTGTGGTGAGCCGAGATCACACCATTGCACTCCAGCCTGGGCGACAAGAGTGAAACCCCATCTAAAATAAAAAAAGGTGGTTTTAGGAGAGATTCTCTTTTTGCTAAAGCTAGGAACTTGAGGAATTATCAGAATGTGGGCAGTCACTAAGATGCTGCTGGCTTGTGGAATACACCTTCCCCTGATTCTAGACTCATGAACTCGGGTCTGGTCCCTGGGACCTTTGCATCTGAGATGGGGTGATTGGTCCCGGCCCATCTTGAATGTGTTGATTGTACCTTTGCATTTGCATTTTGTAAGTCAAGTCCAATGTGCGTGCTCTGGGCCATGGCTCTTCTGTCTATAGGTGGTTCCATCCCCTACCCCTTGACCATGTTTCCAGGGTGAGTGTTCAGCTGCCCACTTTCTGGTCCCACCCAGAGACCACTGCCACCTGAGGAAGCGTGACATTAGATAGCAAATTTAAAAAATACCATGACAGGCAAATAAAGAGACCACAGAAGAAAGGGGACAGTATTTCCTCCTGGTTTTTGAACAAGGTGCCTGGCATTTCTGTTTTGCATGGGGCTGTGAAAGCTGTGTAGCCAACTCTGAACGCATCTCATCGCTTCCTACTGTGATAGCAGCTTCTGCCTTCCCTCCTTTTCATGGCTAAGTCTTTGCCTAGAGGAGAGTCGGGCCACACATGGAATCCAGCTACAGGGGAGTCTGGGAGTGGAGTTGTTTGGGTTTTGTCTTCTGGCAAGCAGTAAGACACACTAAAAGGGGTGGAGATGAGAGAGCTCATCAGTCCTAAAAAGGGACACAGCCCAGGAAGGCCCAAGAAGGGGAAGCAAGAAGTGAGGAGAGTGTGGGCGTTTGGAGGAGGGGTTGAGTTGATCCGCCTTTAAAAGAAAAACTGTAGACAAAATAAATGTTGTAGAATTTATTTGAGCATTAAAGGATTCATGAATTGGGCAGCACTCACGACCAGAAGAGGTTCAGAGATCTAGACTTTAGCAGCATGAGCAATGGGCTTCTATAGGCTGAACTTGGCAGCAAAGTAAAGCATTTATTTGATTGGCTCCAGCTAGCAGTTTGCCTTATTTGGGTATGATCTGGTGGGAGGTCCCCAGTTAGAGGTTAGTTGGCAGTTTCTGATTGGTTAGGCTTACATTTCACTTTACCGTTTATATTGGGCTTCAGTTGGCTTACCTAGGAACCCAAGGTTCTGGAGTCATCTCAGCCTAGTGGCTTCCCAGTTAGATATTTTTAACACCCCAAATCTGTTAGTTTGAGCTACTCCTAGTACTGATTTCTAGGTAGAGAGTCCATCTGAAACCTGTAGATGACAGGTGCTCAAACTTAGGGAGCACTGGAGGAGCTTGTCTAAAATCAAGGTTTCTGGGTCCCTACCCTCAAAGATTTGGATGCTGCCTAAATCCCATGGTGGGGTCTAGAATTTAAATGGATAGGTTCCTCTGGAGATACTGTGTTCACTGTGCTTCTGATCACTAGTGTTACTCCTCCTGGCCTCCAGTCCCCCTTTCCCACCCACATTTTTTTTTTAGACCTGGTCATTTTTTTTCCCCTTTTCTGCATTTTTCTTGTGGTTGTTTCAGGTGTCTTTATCAACATTCCCACTGGTTTAGAGATTGCAAGCAAAATTCCTCTCTTTGCTTCGAACACTCTAGTGAAACCTAGAATACTCAAGGTAAATGCTAAGATGAGGCTGTTCAGTTATCTCTGGAGCTCAGGGTCTAATTCATCCAACGTTTATCGAGCCCCTTCAAAGCACCCATCATTGGGGATGGAAAATGAAAGATACACAGCTCCTGCCCTGTAGGAGCATGTGGCCTTGTCGGGGAAGCTTAGCACTTCTGCCTCACTAGGTTTAAGCAGTTGGAGGAGCAGCATCTATTTGGAAAGAAGAAAAACGCTTTTGAAAAGTGCACTTGGTCTGTACGGTGGCTGCTCTTTGATTTCCTGAATGCAAGGGGTTGAACCGAACACATGATGCCCTCCATGGTTGGGGAAGCATCCATCACCCCCTTGGGAACGGAAACTTGACATCGAACTTCCAGGAATTGAGGCCAGGACCTTCTTGAGGCACTGTCTTGTGGTTCAGTTCTGCCTGCCCGGAGTCATTGGCCTTCGGGGCTGACCGTTTCGTCGCTGACTCCCACAGACACGCCGACCATCTGGAGGCTAAAGGATCTTTCTTCCTAGGAGGTCCCTCATGATAGGGTCTCTGAAGCCTCTACCATGGAAGGGAATGGTTGGGATTAGACCCTATGCAGAGGCACGTGCCTTTTCGTAGAGGGGCACATCCATGGCCCAGTTGTTCCCTCATTAAGGGCAATGGGGGAAGCTGGTTCCTTCTTGTGGATTGTAGCCTTCCAGACTTTAACTCCTTGCTTTATTCAGATCCTTGGCCAGGTCTTCTGTACTGGTCTCCTGGGCCACCCATCGGGCTGTCTTCACTTCCTACCATCAGCTGTTCACTCTATCCAAAGATGAAGCAGCCCTGTATTTGCTGATGTGAGCTGCTTCCTTTATTTATGCTCTCACCGGATCTCTGGGAGGTGTACTCTACCATCAGAACACTCGGAGACAGTTATCTGGACATAAAGTGTTGGTGCTGGCATCGTTATCAAATAATAACAGAAAACACATCAGCACCAAGTGCATCTATCCCTGTGCTAGATGAGATAAGGAAAAAACACATGCACAGTCCTGTCTTTGAAGAGCTGACATTAAAATGGACGATGCCATGAAACACACACATTTGTAAGTTACAGACATCCTCCTATGCAAGCACTCTAGTCACGTTTGTTTGGTAAAGGATAATCACTTATTAGCTTCAGAAAGAACTCATTCATGCCTTGATTTTCAGTGTTGCCACAGGAAAGCAATAGCAGAACCTGGGTCCCTGCTGTGAAAATGAAAGTACTTAAGGATGTTCAATTGCTCTTCTGTTATTCATGTGCATCCGTGGTAGGACATCATGGCAGAGCAGCTGCTCAGAGCGGATGATTACGTGTGGGTTCCCGCTTCAGCCTGGGATTGTTTCATTATCTACAGCTGTTCTCCAGCATGGTAAAATTCGGACGATGTCGATAATTTTCCCATAAGGGGCTCTCAAGATACATCAGTTTGTGCTATCTAGAGTAGTTTAAACTACTGTTTCTTGAGTACTTACTATGTACTGGGCAACATTTTCCATATCTCAGGAAGCAGTCTCATTTTCAAAGGAGAATGGAATCCGTTTCAGGTCACACCACTTCCTGCAGATTCAGGACACCACACAGATATTTTAAAACGCTGGGTGCTCCTTTCGAATTTGCCAGTCTGACAAGATGCTTGTCATAGAGCACAGCTGTCTGGGCTACAGGGATGCAGAAAGGACCGAAGGTCTGAAGGGAGGGGAAGGGTTCTGTGCTGGTGGGTTCCTGGAAAAGCCTTTACTTTGAGGTTGTCCATTGAGCTTGTGTAACCTGGAGGGGTAGAAGCAAAATTAAATGAACACGGATCAACCTTTTAACGCGTATCTTGCAAATAACATGCTCCTGGCTCTATGTGCAATGCCTGGATATAACAAATCTATTTTTACGAAGCCTACAAAGACCAAAATACCTCGATGTGTGTGATGTGATGTAATCTCTGCATTTGGGGTGGGAGGTGAGTAGGGAAACTACTTTGGAATTAGCACAAATGTACACAATTCTGGGTAATGATACACGAGAATGCTCAGGTATTCATAGAATTCAGACAGGGCGTGTGATCTGCCCAGGATTTAGGAAAGACCTTAGGTGTTTCTGGGAATTGTATGTTCATGTGTTCCTACAACCAATAACTAGCATATAATGATCATCATTATTTATTGAACAGTTATGCTGACTTAGTATCTTTTTTTGGGTTACTTGGAGCAGTCACTCTGTTTTCTTGAGTTGTAAACTTACGGTGAAGGTTTTGGGTTAAAGAGTTGTAATGGAAGTGATTCCCTGCTGCATCTTATTTTGAGAGTCGAGGGGAGAAATTCGGTCCATTCATTGAGGTGGGGTGCGCCTGCCTGTAGGTTCTGGTGGAATAAGGTGTCTCCTGGAGCTGGAGGGGTGGGGTGGGGTGGATGAAGGAAGCATCTGGTTCGCTGGATCCTGGAAGGTTTTGTGACCTCATCGTGCCCACCTGGCATCACAGAGTAGGCAGTGCAGTGCCTCACAGGAGAAACCCTCTGGGCTGAGACAGACATAAAGTAAGAAGAAAAGAGCCAGTCTTTGGTTCAGCAATGCATTCTTGTTGGTTTCTTATTGTCTCCTTTTAGACAAACCTATTCGTGGTAGAAACACAGCAATGCGAACACGATCGGGAGAAGGGGAGGACCAGTCCTACCACTTTGGCCTTTGTGTCCTCTGTGAAGAGATGCTGGTGTTTTATGAGCATTTGTGAGCTCCTGGCATTTGGGTCATAGTACCCCTGCGCATCGGTATTCATGACTTTCCCACATGGGCCTCAGAGGAGGGCTTGCAGCCTCCCCAGTGCCCGCTTCTGGGGATGAGAAGAATTGCAGAATTGTATAAATCCCTTATCATCAGCTAGAGGATTGTTAAATGCACACATTAAGGCAAAAAAGCCTGCTATCAACAATTGGCTTTGTTTTTTAAGAAAATACAGCAGAACAAGCAAGATGTGGTGGTGTGTTCCTGTATTCCCAGCTACTCAGGAGGCTGAGGCAGGAGGATCACTTGAGCTCAGGAGTTGGAGGCTGCAGTGAGCTATGATTGTGCCACTGCACTCCAGTCTGGGCAGCAGAGTGGGACCTTGGCTCAAAGTAAAGAGAGAGAGGGAAGGAGGGTGGGAAGACAGAAATAGAACAATAGAAGTTTGTAAAAATACCCAAACTGGAAGAAAGAAAAAACAGGAGAGATGCTCAAGGATATTTGACTCCAGCTCCCTGCTTCTTACATGGGAAGCTGGGTGGGTCCCCCTGTTTCTAGTTCGGCATTCCCTTTGAGACCTCCTCAACTCAAGGGGGACTTCAGAAACAATGGAATGAAACAATAGGCCCTGCATTTTCACTCAGAGCTCATGCTTTCTGTTGCCAGGCAGAACCTAGAAAGAGTTCCTACTCTGTAACCCACTCACACTTGGTTTGTTTTCACAAAATATAGAGGGGTCAGTGAACGCGTGTTTTGATTCCAAGGAAATTCCAAGCGCCTTGGTTTAGCAAATGTCGATTTGGTGACATGTCACTTTTCCTTTTTAGCAACCAAAAAGTCCGATAATGAAAGAAGTTTCTCTTTAATTTACTTAACCCTGCAAAATGTTTGCTCAGATTTTTTGTTTGTTTGTTTTGTATCAATGTAAGGAGTACAAGTACAGTTTTGTTATGTGGATATATCGCCTGATGGTGAATTCTGGGTTCTTAGTGTAACCATCACCCGAATAGTGTACATTGTACCCATTAAGTAATTTCTCCTACCTCATCCCCTCCCATTCTTCTACACTTCTAAGCCTCTAATGTCTGTTACTTCATTCTGTATGTTAACCTGTACACATTATGTAGCTCCCACTTGTGGCTGAGAACATGTGGTATTTAGCTTTCTGTTTCTGAGTTGTTTCACTTAACATAATGGCCTCCACTTCCACCCATGTTGCTGCAAACGACATGACTTCATTCTTTTTTATGGCTGAATAGTATTCCTTAGTATGCATGTACCACATTTTCTTGGTCCAGTCTTCTTTTGATGGATGTTTAGGGTGATTCCCTGTCTTTGCAGTTGTGGGTGGTGCTGTGGTAGACATGAGTGCAGGTATCTTTTTGATATAATCATTTCTTTCCTTTGGGTAGACACCCAGTAGTCAGATTGCTGGATACAATTATAGTGTTGTTTTTTTTTTTTTCTCTCAGATATTAAGTCTTTTTGGTGTGAGCTTCTGTTTACAAGCATTCCAGGTCCTGTAAATAATGTGCGCAAGTTTTCATTGCACAGTAAATTTGGTTTCACTCAGTCTTGCCTGTATCTTATGTGATGGACAAGCATGACGTGAAAATACGTGACCTGAGCTCTCTAGTTCCCATGACCTGGCAGGTGTGTGGCCTGCCACATCACCTGGTATAAGTCTGTCATAGACTTATATGAGAGTCTCAACTCATTTCTTTTTTGAGACGGAGTCTTGCTCTGTTGTCCAGGCTGGAGTGCAATGGCACAATTTCGGCTCACTGCAACCTCCGCCTCCCGGATTCAAGTGATTCTCCTGTCTCAGTCTCCTGAGTAGCTGGGATTATAGGCACCCACCACCACGCCCAGCTGATTTTTGTATTTTTAATAGAGATAGGGTTTCACCTTGTTGGCCAAGCTGGTCTTGAACTCCTAACTTCTTGATCCGCCCGCCTCGGCCTTCCAAAGTTCTGGGATTACAGACATGAGCCATCGTGCCCAGCCTCAGTTCATTTCTCAAAGAGACAAATTCTAAACACAGTGGCAAGTCCTCAGCAGGGCTTTCTTCTCACCCACAGAATCATCTGAGCCTCAGGAGCTCATTTCAGCCCAGCTGGTGTGCATTAGGTACCTGTGCACAAGGCAGCTGAGCTCCTAGGAGGAAACAGGAAGAAGCCCCCTCTACCTGTGTGTCCTGCCCAGGGAAAGGCATCCTGTGGCAGGGGCCCGTTCTGGAACCACTCATAGGAGGTGGGACTTCAGAATCTTCCAGAACAAGGGGAATGCCTGTCTTATGATTTGAAACATCTCCCCCGATGGTTCTGTCTGCCTTCCTCATACTCCCCGAAGAACTATGGTCTTACAAGACCACTACTGAGCCTATCTGAGGCCAAGTTTGATTACCGGGAAGTAATTCAGGAAAGCCCTGTATAAACTCTTTTTTTTTTTTTTTTTTTTTTTTTTTTGAGACAGAGTCTTGCTCTGTCGCCCGGGCTGGAGTGCAGTGGCCGGATCTCAGCTCACTGCAAGCTCCGCCTCCCGGGTTTACGCCATTCTCCTGCCTCAGCCTCCCGAGTAGCTGGGACTACAGGCGCCTGCCACCTCGCCCGGCTAGTTTTTTGTATTTTTTAGTAGAGACGGGGTTTCACCGTGTTAGCCAGGATGGTCTCGATCTCCTGACCTCGTGATCCGCCCGTCTCGGCCTCCCAAAGTGCTGGGATTACAGGCTTGAGCCACCGCGCCCGGCCTATAAACTCATTTTATATCTCCACTCACAATCTTTTATTGTATTTTATCTGTTTATTTTTGTAGAGACAGGGTCTCACTATGTTGCCCAGGCTGGTCTCAAACTCCTGGCCTCAAGTGATCCTCCCACTTTGGCCTCCCAAAGTGCTGGGATGACAAGGATGAGCCACAGTGCCCGATCTCCACTCACAGCCTCTCGTTTCACATTCATAGGTGGTCTACGGATAGCAGGAAGTCTCTCACCGAGGACTTTTCCAACCCTGAGAAGATGCAAACAACAACCTGAAGAAAGAAAGATTCCTGGGGGACAGGAGCTATATTTGTAGGAGCGGGTGCCATTTGGGACAGAGCACAGGGCTTGGGAACATTCTGAATTAGAGAAGAGAGGGGGCAGCTTCACCCCTCCTGGGCAGCAGGTCCATTTTCTCTGGTGTCAATTCCTGACACACCAGAAGTGCCTCTATTTAGATAGAGGTCAGCATAAAAGGCGATGGCTATTCTTTAAGCACTTAGGAAATGTTTGTTTGGGGAGGACCTGCATCGTTTCGGGTCTATAATGGCACTGGGCCTGCAGAGACGCGTGGAGGCTCCTCCGCCTGCACACTCCGCCTCTGTGTGGGAAGTGGAAGATGAGGCCGTCTGAGCAAAGACCAGTGGTGGTCTTTGATCTGGACCCACAGTGACTCCCATCGGCATCGCATGTCTTTCTAACTGCTTATGATTATGATTATTATTTTATTTTTTGAGACAGCCTCGCTCTGTTGCCCAAGCTGGAGTGCAGTGGTGCGATCTTGGCTCACGGCAACCTCTGCCTCCCGAGTTCAAGTGATTCTTCTGCCTCAGCCTCCTGAGTAGCTGGGATTACAGACACATGTCACTGTGCCTGGCTAATTTTTATATTTTTAGTAGAGACAGAGTTTCGCCATGTTGGCCAGGCTGGTCTCGAACTTATGAGCTCAGTTGATCCACCTCCCACAGTGCTGGGATTACAAGCGTGAGCCCCTGTGCCTGGCCTCTCGCTGCTTGTTAATGTTTCCTGATACGTTTCCTGCAGTGACCTCAAGTCCGCGTTCCGGATTTCTCCTCCCCGCCCAGACTGGCTCTGCCTGCTGCGTCCTGCTGAGACACCAGTTGCGCAGTGCCTAAAGCCAGGAACCTGGGCCTCCTTCCAGGTCACCCCCCCGCCTCCCACCCTGACCCACGCACGCCTGTCCTTGATCATTATATCATATGACTCCAGCCTCTGAAATGTGACTTGTGTGTCATTACCTCTCCAGAACCCATGATCACTGTCACCTTTTACTTCTGCTATTGTAATAGGTCCTTACCTGGCCTTCTCACCTGCCTTCATCCAGTCCGTCCTGCGCTATTGGACGGAGTGGAACCTCGGGGTGAAAACACAGCTCCAGGGCAGCCATGAGAAGGGTGCAGAAGGCAGTCAGCCCGCAGCTGGATTCGCACCTGCTAGGGATCAGTCTCCCCTCTTTCCCGCTTGACCCATTCCTCCAATCACACGCCTCCCTTAGTACAACTCTTTGCTTCCCTTGCTTTTTCTCCAGGATAAGGAACAAGCTCCTTAACATCACACCTCAAACCAGTCACGAAGGGGCCTGAGGTGATCTTTGCCGTTTCATCTTTCCCCCATCTCCAGCTCTGAAACACACCTGTCACTCTCTAGCTGTGACTTCCTACGACTTACCATATTCCTTAGAAACGCTGCGCACCCGGACGTCTCTGGGACTTTGCAGCACCTGCCTGAGCTGAGGATGCTCTTGTCCACCTGAAAAATCCGTGCCTGCTTCATAGCCAGCCACTGTGCCAGTGGCCATATCCCTAGGCAGGGCTGGCCTGCTCCTTCTCTGCACTCCAATAGTAGTTAAGTGCCTCTGTCACACTGTGATCGCTCCTGTCACCTTCCATCATAGATACTTATTTATCCGTCTGCGTCTCAGACAGAAG